TTGCGATTGATTTGTGATTGGAACACTTTGTCCGTAGACAATCTACAATTTAGGAACACCCTGCAATTTAGGAGAAATTTTCTCCAGAGTCACCTGTCTTTGTACATAATCTGGAAGATACAAATGGGAATCCTGAGTTCCAATGGTGCCTTTCCTTGTATCTTAACAGATTGAGGGTCTCTTGCATCTAAATTTTGCTCGCTGTAGCCTTTGAACAGATCTGTTCTTGCCATCACAAAGAAGCAGTAAATCATCAGCAAAGCTAAGGCGTTTACCACCTGGAGAATAGCCCATAAGGGCAAAAAAGGAGTTCAAATCTGCATTTGGTTCTTCATCAGCATGCACAGTGTTCTCATGGCCAATTGACATGAGCAGGGCAGCCCAGGATAAATCATTCAGAATTGCTACTGTCGATGCTCATGTTTGGAGATGCCAATTGACTTCGTCATTGATACAGAAGCTGATTTTTGTTAAAAGTAGATTTAATGAAGAAGATGGAAGGGACTTCAGGGCAGGAAATTCAAAGTTCACTTATTGGACAAAAAAAACTCAAAAGAATTAACAAAAATCCTCAATTTCAAGTAATAAACAGGTGAAAGATAAAAAGGTTCACTTACCAAGAATATTTTAGCTTATGCAAACAAAAAAGAACAGGAAGGTGGGAGTCTCTGCCTCACCCAAAAACCAATCTGCAATGAAGAACAAAAACAATAAGTCAATTGTCAACCTAAGACCTCTGCATTAGGAAAAAGAAAGGAAAAAAAAAAACCGGAAACAGTCTAAGCAACATATGAAACAGAAAGCTTGCATTTGTTCAGAGAAGAAGCTGTTTAATACCTGAGACAATTCTCTTAACTTCACCTGAAAAACAGGAAGACAAGAGGCTCATGGTCGGTCACAAAATATTATATTAAGACCACAGAACCAACAAGTGCTTGAATTCTTGGATGAAATCTAGTCAAACAAGGATGAAACAGTATGTTGAGATTGAACAAACATAGGATGAAGAGCATCCTAGAATCAGAAACCGTGATTAAATAATTAAAAAAAAAGGTTAATGGCCATGAGCAATGTACCATCAGTGCAGAAAAAAATACATGCAGGAACTCAGAAAACTTGTCTGGTTAGAAATTTATAAAATCAATTTATATCATTATTCGAGCATCATGAGTGTCTTCTATCTCATGAGAAAGAGAAGATACTGCAAAGGATTATCAAGCTAACAAATGTATGTAGATATTATTTGTGTGAAAAAGACAGAACTTATCATTCTATTTAATGATATGCCACTGAAATCATGATATCCATAATGATCATATATTCATATTTTTCCTTAAACTGGGTGTCCGACATCTGTCAGAATTCTAGAACCTTTTAAATTGTGCCTAAAATATTGGTCAAGGAGGTTTCAGCTGGAACATTACTTTCACTCTCAACTGTGGCTTCTGCAACAGCATCACCCACTGCCACGCTTTGCACCATACTCAAACCAGAGCAAATGGATGCAAAGATTTCCACCAGCCAAGTAGTCACATGCTCCTGTTAGGCCCATTACTGATGCATGAAGTCCAGGGAAATAGAAAGCATAAAATTCTGACAAAAGTGTACCAGAATCTATGGTGCAATTTTACTTCAAAGCAGAGTTTCCATTCACAAGTTCATGTTGCCTCCTTCCAAGACTGGCCAATTTGCTTCTCATCAGAACATGGTTTTTAAACCTTGGCCACCACTTTTAAACAAAAGAAATCCCTATCTAGGCCAACTATCACAAAAAGAAATTTGGCACCTTTGTCCAGCAAAAAATGATATGCTGTCTTCAGATACTGAATTGGAGACTCTGCAGAGTGCCCTTTCATCGTTTCTTTTTTCTCTTCTAGAATTCCTTTTGTTTGCATCAATGGTGCCCTAGTTAGGTTTCTATGAAGATGTTTCGAAATGTGATGTGTTCTTGATGAAACTTTTAAAGATTCTTTGTGGATTGTAATGAAACATTTTCGGGTTTCTCTATAACTTGACATAATTATATACTTTATCTTGTGAAATTCATCCACCTACCAACCCTTGTCTTCATTCCCGTGGTCTTCCATCTCATTTGCTACTGTCACTTCACATTACATCGTGCACCAGTGATCTGCTGAATCATGACTACTCCACCACTATCAATTAATCCTCGATATCACTTCACTTCCATGCTAACCACGTTGAACATCACCGGATCGATTCCTTCCCATATCATTCAACATCAGCCTTCACCAAATACAACAAATAATTCGAATACCAACCAAAACACTATCAGTTTCATAAACCGAAAATAAACTTCTGTGACCTGACAAACAGATGCTCAGTGTGCACTATATTCATCAGATCAGATTAGAGAGAACCAAAAATATGCTCCACTATGGCCAACTTCAAGAAGATTGTCGAAATAGAGAAAGTGGTCGATCGAGACCCAAACAGCCTAACAAAAACCTAACACGCAGTAACTCAACCAATCTAATCAAAGCAAAAGCTTTTCTAGCCAAAAAAAAAAGTTCTTTTAATCATAAACTGAAGAAGAAGTGCGAAATGCGAAGTTGGAAGCCATAAAACCCCACACATAACAATTTTTTTACAGACGGGAATAAAGAATACAAGAACCAATACCTCCCCAGGAGCAGTGGTTCCAGGAATTGGGTCGGCGTCAGGCTTGGCGTGGTGTCCAAAATCATTCCATCTGGCAATAAACGAGTCTCGATTCTGACGAACTAACATGATTGTTGACCAAGACCCGAAGAACCATCCAAGTTTCGTGCAAAACCCCGCAGAAGAAAACATGAAAAAGCAAGAAAAAAATGAATCGAGATCAAGTTCAATACTTAGGAGAAGACTCGCTACGGAATGACGATCTCGGGAAAGTATCAAGGAAGCGAGGAAACAGCGGCCGAGGCAACCCAGAATACGCTGTCGGTCGGCAAAATCTCCACACTCGGTGTGAGCTCGCAAGCCAATCCGATCGAGAGAGAGAGAGAGTGAGTGATATATATATAAGAATTATCATAAATATTCCTATAAATTGGATTTTCTTTTGTATTATCACCCATTACATTTAACTTTATGATGAAAACTGGAGGGATATATGCTCTATATTATGTTAAAGAGTGACAAATATATTATTTTAAAGCTTACAAAGGATAGACATATAAATGCCTTTTTCCTTATTATTCTTTGTTAGATTATTTTGTTACTTGAGGTGTTATAATTTTTAAATTTAATATTTGGTTGGCTTCCTATTAGGATTTATTAGAAGACTTATCTTTTCTGTTAGTACCTTTGTGTTTATTGTTTTTTTAACATGAAGAAAGTTTATTTTTTATTAGGTTTAGCACAGGATCATAATAGATATAAGGTTACAAGATCAGATAATCATATGATTCTGGTTTATTACCTACAATTAGGTATAGATTTACCTACAATTAGGCATAAACTCAAATATTCATACCTGATCCCTAATTTTAGAAATCTCATGTCTTTCAGGTCCTTATCATTTCAAATATGAAAAAAAAAAAAGCATAATCAAGAATAAAGTGCATGATATCTTCATTTAATTTTTTGTGCATTGGAGGATAAGGTAGAGCCAAACAAAGAGCTTCAAAACTCTCCTACTTTATATTTATTGATTTGCATGTTAATTTAGCACTTTGACTCTTTTATCATCTTTTTATTTTTTTTAATAATATTATAAAATATATTATAATATAATAAAAAAATATTGTAACTAAGAACTGATTTAATTTGATAGACCAATTTACACTATAGACTGATCCATAAGAAAAAAAAGAGAGAAAAAATGATTGATTATCAAATCAAGAATATATTTAAAATTAGTAGAAGGATCACTCTTACGGAATGGGCATCTTTCGATAAAAAAAGTCTTTAAAAAGTAAAAAAAAAAATCTCCGAAAGTTTTTTTTACATTGTTCTCTTCCCTATCTTAGGGCACCCTTATTCAATACCATTTAATCCTAATTGATAATAGTAAATACCATCAGTTATAAAATTTTGATTGGGTCACTAAATTTCAAAGGTTTATCATTCAAAATAAAAAAATCTATCATCATGTACATTAAATCATTTGATGAATTAAAATTCGCATGAAATAAAGGAGAAAAGCATTTGATCCAAACTTATATTTCGCTATCCTATCATAAATCCTAAAATCTTAATTTTTTAGGAGAAGTTCCAATATAATAATACCTTAACAAATTATGACTAAGAACTTGCATTAAGATAAAAAGTGTTGAAAGCAACTCTCCTTCCAATCTCCTTTGAAACAAGAGAGAGAGAGAGAGAGAGAGAGAGAGAGAGAGAGAGAGAGAGAATTGGGCCTCCGCAAGTCTTTGTGCAAGCAGTGACAAAAGTTTCATTTTCTAGTAGTGCCCATACCCAATTTAAGTGGCAGGGGAATTAAGTCCCCACATCACACTGGACCATGTCACATAGATAGATACATACTAGAAAAATACAACTAGATAACTACAAAGGGAAAGAGTTGGACAACATATATATAGAGAGAGAGAGAGGTAGAGAGAGAGTACTGCACACATTGCAAATCCAGTTATGCTACAAGAAGAAAGATATGCTCCTTAGATCAACCAATGGCAGCTCAAGCTGTTATGCTCAAGGGAAAGAGAAGTAATATTAGACAGGCATTTATTGCATGTTGAAATCTAATGTTCCTGTGGCTATGGATTTTCTCACACAGGTATATAGTATGTGTGTGTGTATATGATCTGATTCCTGCCCAATTGTTTTCATCTTCTCTATCTCTTCATTCCTCTTTTTTGGCTTTTAGTTAACCAAATTGCTATGAGTAGGAGGTTGTATCTAAGCCATTTATCTTGGACTATTCCTTCCTCCCCATGATGAAGAACCTCTCTGTTCCAGCCACTGCTATATATATGGACATATGTGAGCAGCTCTGCAGCCAAAACTAAATGATCCAAGCTCTGTCTCTTCTTGGACAAACCCCTCTTATGTTCTTCAACAGTCTTAGTTTTCCATTTGTGCTCTCAAATCTGGCTCATCACAAGTCTTGAAGTTTCAGCCTGTGTAGACACTGTTTTCTCAGTTAGTTCTCCTTTTATCCAGCATTTTGTTTTCACTCTATTTAAGAACACATTTGCTGAGGATCTTTCTCTCTTCAACACTTGTGTGCGATCACTAGTTCTACAGCAGCTTCTCCAATAGCTGTTGTTCTTATGACGATTATGCAAAGAAGAATCGAAAATAAGCGATCAACCGCAGGGGAGTTTAGTACGGGCAATCAGCATGATTCTCCAATCCTGCAACTAAAGCTCTATGGGCCACCCATGGCGTCAAATCTCAAGCAGGTCTGGGTTCCCGGCCCCCTGATCGTAGGAGCTGGACCTTCAGGTCTTGCCACAGCTGCGTGCCTCAAAGACAGAGGTGTCCCTTCTCTGATACTCGAGAAAGAGACTTGCATCGCCCCTTCGTGGAAGCTCAGGACCTACGAGCGCCTGAGGCTTCATCTCCCCAGGCAGTACTGCGAGCTCCCCTTCATGGCCTTCCCACCAGACTTGCCGACGTACCCCACCAAGCAGCAGTTCGTAAGCTACTTGGATGCCTACGTCGAACACTTCGACATCAAACCATTGTTCGGCGTGGAGGTTGGGCACGCCGAGTATGATCCGAGCACTGGGTTCTGGCGAGTGCAGACGAACGACTTGGAGTTCATATGCCGGTGGCTCGTCGTTGCGGCGGGGGAGAATGCAGAGGCTGTGTGGCCAGATATCCGCGGGATCTCAAAGTTTCGTGGACGGGTGCTGCACACCAGCTGCTACGTGAAGGGAGATGACCACCGGGGAGAGAAGGTTTTGGTGGTGGGCTGTGGCAATTCAGGCATGGAGGTTGCTTTGGACCTCTGTTACAATGATGCTAAGGTTTCCATGGTGGTTAGAGATAAGGTGAGCTACTAATCGTCCCTTCTCTCTCTCTCTCTCTCTCTCTCTCTCTCTCTCTTGCAGCTTTGCCTACTTCCTTTTGGACTCAATTGTGTTCTGTCGTTTTCATGATCTTGCAGTTGCACATCTTGCCGAGAGAATTACTTGGGATCTCAACGTTTGGACTCTCCATGTTCCTGCTAAAGTGGATTCCCGTTGAAGCTGCAGATGCTTTCCTCCTGTTTTGCGCGAGGCTGATACTGGGAGATACAGGAAAGTATGGGATAAAGCGTCCTAAGGTTGGGCCACTGGAGCTCAAGAGCACCACCGGCAAGACCCCAGTATTGGACATCGGCACTCTGGCCAAGATTAAAAGCGGCCAAATTAAGGTTCTCTTTCTGCGATGATAACAAGGGTTAAATGTGTATGATGATCTTGAGATGAGCCTAATTCTCAGTGGTTTTCTGCAGGTTGTCCCTGACGTGAAGCAGTTCACAGATACAGGGGTCGACTTCGTGGATGGTACGCATGAGGACTTCGATTCCATCATCTTAGCAACAGGCTACAGAAGCAGCGTCACTTCCTGGCTCAAGGTACATGAGAATATCGCACACTTTGTAGGAAGATCACTGTAAGATTATAATTGTTCGACAAGCTAAATCTATTCTGGTCACATTTAAGACTGAGAGAGCCTGAGAAAAAATTCGGATTAGGTCCTGAGAGCTCCATAGGATTAGTTCTTGCAGAACCTCTTGCAGCTGATTGATGATTTCCTGTGTGAAGAGAGTTCAACTTTGGGATAGATAGATAGATAGATACAAGAACGAACATAGTTCATGGCTCCAGGGACATCACACCTCACAAGTGCACCCAAAGGATCTCTCCACTTATCGCTAGCAATTTGGAAGCATGGGCGATGAGGGCGATTCGTTTGAGAAGAACATGCAATTGAACTCCGATGGTGACTTTGGTCCATGGCAGAGACATCCAATTCACTACCACTTCAAAAAGAGCGCACTGATGCATCCGCTCCACCCGCTCTGTTTGCAAGCACATGCAGTACCAGTGAAGGGAGCACCGAGAGGACACATCTGAGTCTGACCTCCCCGACGCCCATTCTGTGTGTGGACGGGAGAGAGTGCAATCATGTGGTACGCTTCTGCACTGAGGGACCCTCTTGGATGTGGCGGCCATCGTACGCTTAGATGACCCACACGATATTGTCTTCACATAGACACACACACACACTGTTGTATAAACCAGCGATCCATGTATCTTACAGTGGAATTGTCATGTTGCAAGGAGGAGAAGGACGAGGAGTTCTTCAGTCAGAAGAATGGCTTCCCGGGGACTTCGTTCCCTAATAGCTGGAGAGGAAACAATGGCCTGTATGCCACTGGTTTCACCAGGAGAGGATTGCTGGGAGCTGCCATGGATGCCCAGAAGATAGCACAGGATATTTCCAACCACTGGAGCTGTAGATCTTAGTTGTAACTCAAAGATCACGTAGCCTTGTACTCCATGTATGATAATATTTATCACGTCCTTGGTTTGTTTCTTTCTCTGTATAGATTGATTGATACAGCCAAACAGAGGGGATATGTAGCATTCTCACTGTTCTTCTTTTCCAGCTTTTCATTACTAGTTGACTTGTAGCCTTCAGTCCTGTAAGCTGGCATCGAAGAGACTCCAATGGTTACATGTTTCGGCCAAGAAAATGCCAGTGGAAACAAACCTGAAGGTTCAAATCATTAGATTGTGTTAGGAATCTGAGGCATTATATATCTCCTTACGAACAGCAAAGGAAGATTACACTTCATGTTACTCTCTTCACACCAAAAGGTCTCTGGTATTACCAGCAGCTCCATCATCATCGATATCTTTCTCTTGCAAAGTCAAATACGTCACTGATTGATGGGACTGATTTCTTCAATCAGAAAAGCTGCTTTGTTTTACTATCGATGGCGATGGAGAAGCCTTTTTAGTTTCAAGAAACAAAGTCCAAAACCCTGCCCACTGCTTCAGCAACTTGAGGAGATCTACTGGCACCGCAAACCTATCAAACAAAGCTAAGGCTGTCATCAGCTCTTGCATTCTTATCCTTGCTTCTGTGGTGCGGCCATGATGCCAACAGCAGTTCCGTCCAAAATTTTGGTGCCCCACTAAAGCGTGCAGCGAGTCTCCATGTGCTCCGAGTGAAAGTTCATCCAACAAAGATGTTGGAACTAAGCTTTGGACGATGCTTTGAAAGAGAAGGAACGAAAGAAATGTCTTTCTTCCTCGCGTTGCAGGATATGAACTTTCAGGGGTCTCTCACCTTTACTGCTGATTACTTCCTTCCTGTAAATATTTTAGATGGAATCGAATGCATATTGCATCTTTCTCGTGGTTTAAGATGATCATCTCTTTCTTAACTTCGTTAGATTTCTACATCCGCTTTGATGACGCATCACTTCTATCAAGGTTACCCGATCTTGGATCGGGTATCGATTTCGGATTGATCTCTGTTTGGGCTTTGCGTGTCTGCTTTAGTATTAGATAGAGCCACGATTTCCAACTTTTGCACTTTTTCTGAGACTACTCAAACATCTCATCGGTTGCAGTGCTGGATTTTTCGAGTAACTATATGATTTCTAGATTTTAGTGTTTGTAGTTGGGATGTTCTTGCGGGTTGCAGGGATGACCTCAAAGTTCGAGGTTTATCTACAATTTACAGCAGTTTAATTTTCATTCTTGTAGCTTCCTAGTGGTATCCATTCAATGCTCTTCTCTCTGCAACAAGAAATGTACTCATTCGCAACTCATTTACGGAATCCAATACTGTTGTCTTCCTCCGCATGCATCCCCACACTGGCAGCACTGTGACAAGCCCACAACCACACCAACAACACACGCATATTATTCTGATACCTCAAACTTCCTCCTTTACCATAACGTTGACTGCGGGGTTGAGCAGCGGCGGGCGGCGCCGGCGGCATCAGCCGGCGGCGGGAAGAGGGCGTCCCAGATGTCATTAAAAGCGGCGACGATGGCGGCATGGTGGTGACGGGAGTTCAGGGACAGAAAGCAGCGAAGCAGCTGCTCCAGCCCTCGCGCGTCGAAGATCTCCTTCTCCACTACCATCTCCGCCATCGAGCGCCGAAAGTCCTCCTTCGGATTCTCCGACAGCTTTACTACCGCGAAGCTCTCCCTCACCGCCGGCGCGGTGCAGGGGATCAGCCTCCCCACCGCTGGCCAGCCCTCCGGCGACGGCCAGCTCCTCCTCCCCCCGCCGCACCCGAAGCTCTTTCTCCTCCGTCGCCGCCGTATCACGTTGTCCGAGGACTCCACGTCCGTCGTCGACATCAGCGTCCCTGTTTCCTCCTCGCTGCTGAACCATCCGCTGTCGGTGTCGGCCGAGGAGTTGCTTCCGCCCCGCGGAAGTCGCCGCAGCGAGGTCCTCCTCCTCGACGCCACTTTCCGCTGGCTCCCCCAGCGGAGCTCCGCTCCCCGCCGCCGCGTGGGCAGCGGGGGGAAGATCCCATCATCGGAGTCAATCTTCTGGCGAGGAGTGGAGGGAGAGTGGCCTTCGTCGTCGGCGGCGCAGGCCACGACGTGCCACCACTTCTCCTCCTTCCGCCACAGGTAAGCAGGCGAATCCATCGTCAGCGGGGGGACGGCTTCGGGCAGCGAGCGGCGGCGGGAGGGGAGGCAGCAGGAGGCAGAGACGAGTGGAGGGTGGAGGCGCCGGGGGAGGGGAGGCGGGGGCGCAGGGAAGTCGATGTCGGAGCTCACGAGCGAGGAAGCGGCGCCGTTGCCCTTGAAGCGGAAGCCGGAGGGTAGCACACGGGACAAGCGGAGACGGAGGCGTTTGGCCATCGTGGAGGAGCGCATTCGGACGTAAGAGGTGGCGATGGGAAAACTTACGTAGGCTCGACGGTGTGGACTTCAAAAGCAAGCAAGCAACACCGAGCGATGTCTTATTCTTTCGGGAAGACGATATCATGATTAATCACATGATCTAAGGAAGTCGTTGGCCTTTGACAGCACATCTTTAGGCCCAGAATCGGCGAGAGAAATCAACGCTGACCCAAATCATTCTGTTTGACCGATTCATTCCTCTTCATCCTTGGTGAAGTGCTTCTTTGTCAAAGTTATACAGTTAAGTGCTTCCTTTACCGATAATTAAACCTCCATAAGCCCGACACAGTGCTTCCTTGGGATTAGCCAAACGTGCTTTACGACACTTGGGGTCGCGGCCGTACGTTTCGCAACTTGTACACGGAATCTAGGGCGCGAAAAGTGCGGTTGAAGCCAAACGAGTAATGTGGTTACGATCAGCTCCCTCCCGCAAACAGGAAAAGCCATGTGTGCCGATAGATCTCGACCAGCTTGCTTAAGATAACACGCGTCGGCAACGGGACGATGAGCACGCACACCCGCGTGTCCGGATCCTCCTCCGAACTAAACGGCTACAGCACATGCGACCCGGTAACAGCAGCGCCGGGTCACGACGTCGTGCCACGTGTTCGCTTGACGTTTTTTTATCCGAGATCAGCCTCCGTTCGATCTCGATCGTAGGGACGGGACCAGTTTGCTTCGGGACGACGTTAGATCCTGTCATGGGTGGACGGCTACGATCGAGACGTAGCCTGCGTCGACGAGACTATGCGCGTACGCAGAGAACCATGCGGGCTAATCTCCACCCTTGGTGTCGGGCGTAGAAAGCCATTCTCACCGTCGGATGAAGGAGCCGTCTCCCGCATAACAAGCAGTATGCGGAGAATTATGACGATGTCACGTCGCTCGCTCGGTCTTCGCCGCTTCTTTTGAGGAGGATCGCGGCAAAGATCGGGCTTCCCGTTTCCGAGGAACGATTCGTGTTCTACTGTGATGCCCTTTGTATTATTCGGATTCAAAATACAATACAAGACATGGATGCACGATTGGAGAAGAACAATAGTGGCTCCGAGTAGGAATACATACACATTCGAATTAGAGGGTTGGTGATGGAGCCCCACATGAAACCTTTGCTACCTCACGCTTCAACATCATCATTGGAAAGAAATAATAGAGTGGCGTTGGGAGGCAGATTCGTTTTTGTTCCCACCAAATCATGGAGGCAGCTTCACGCAATGAGCTTTTTGACCCGATAAGACCCGTCGGCTGGGCCGTGTACGACGCACTTCCTAAAGAACAACACTTGACGCGACCTATTTTCTCGCTCTATGTTTTATCTTATCTTAAGAAATATAATTATTAATATTCTATTTGATTAAATATAGGTTTATAATTGGAATTATATTATTCTATACCCTTTTTTTAAGACGAATTTCCGAAGAAAACAACTCCTCCTTTTTTTTCTTTTAAGGGTACCTCACATTTTCTATAATACTTATAATGTCCCTCGTTATCGTGTAATGGTCTTCGTCATATCATTCTTGTCTGTTATCTTTTTTGTAAATATTGATCGTAGAACCTCCTCTCATAACATCTTCTCTAATAATCTTTGTCTAACCCTCGATTCCATTATCGTCTTCAACTTTATTTATTTGCATGAGAAAAAGCCATAGAAAGGAGATGAGTGAGAGGACAATAAAATCTCATGGTGCAAATGTGAGTCATCATGGGATAATTGCACGACGAGACCTTAAGGATGAAAGTAAAGTATTATAGGGTGAAAGTGAAGACTTAGTAGGGCAAAGACAGAACAAATGGAATACACATGTGTTACAAGAAATATAAGATATTAAATTAAATTAAATTAAATTAAAAGCTAGAGACACTTTTCTGAAAAGTCCCAAAAACAATCATCCGTAACTAATTATTCTCATCACAATCTCCTTCCTTTCTTCGCTTTTTTCATCGCTTTAATTGTCCGTAGGGGAGTTAACATTTTAACTTTGTCTTTTGAGACAACCCATTTATTAGTGATAGGTATGACTGTCTGTCTTATACGTTATTTAATATAATATTTTTTTCTTTCAAAATCTCTTATTTTATCTTATTAAAGAATACTGACAATTCTTAGTCTGAGCTAATATTATTATTCTTATGCTTGATGCAAAAGTTTTAAAATATTCTTAAAGCTACTCAACCCAAATATGGAGAACTTATAAAATCGAATAGAAAATGTCACAAACTACGAGTTCTTAGGGGCACATAAATTATATTAATTCAAAAAATATTTATTTTTCCTCCAAAGACCAATAATAGCATTCGTGCTCGTATGATCATAGTTATACTTCCAAGGTGAGGGTGAGTTTTGATTTTAGAATATTATAATTATTGAAAGAAAAAAAAATTTATTAACCAAGCAAGTTAACATATTCTAAATTTTTTATAAATGAATCAATAGAATATTAATTGATATGATATATTTCGGTACCACCCACATGACAATAATAAGCAACCATGCCAGTGTCAACAAGGAGGCTCGAGATTGATGCGGCACATTGCGCCGACGTGTCACCTCGAGCTCAAATGGGATGATCGCCTACTCTTGCGTTGTCCGAGGCCATCTAAGACAGCGCTACATAGCACATAATCGCTCTGGAAAGCTTGGAATGATACTATGTGGCATGAATCCATGCAGCTTGGTCAGTGCTCGTACGATAAGTACAAGCAAACCATCCGATGAGTCGATCATGTATGATTGGCCTTCGTTCACAAGTATAAAGGTTGACCCTCTGATTGGCACTAAGGAGGCCTCAAATACTTCAACTACACTTAATACTTGACATTCGAAGGGGCTAAACCAAGAAACCCCCTCTCGACTTTGGCCTTTGTATATGAACCCCGAGGAAAAGAAGCAACAACCCGTCAAGAGAGAGACCACACTCGAGAGACAAAGGCTTGACCCAACCCGACTCGACACCATCGTTCGTCGACCATAGCTTATGTGTGGGGGACTGTGCGCACTCGGGATCGTAAAAATCTCCAACATTAATTATTCCAATTCTATAACAGAAAACATAAGGTCCAATCACTATAAATAATTAGATCACATATATCCGATGCTAATCGATTTGACTCTCGTATCGTTGGATCGAGTCACTATTCTGATGATCGGGTGATCATCTCGATCCATATCGGGTGCTAATCAATGTGAGTCGATTTGATCCACTCGACCCAATCCCTAACCCAACATCCCAATTTGAGCCAACCACGTCACATAGGCCGAACCACACCACGCCGCATGGTCGACTCACGGACGCACCCGTACACGCCGTGCATCTGTCAAAGCGTCGGTCTGACCTGGCGAGAGTCAAAACTAGAAATTAGATACGGATAACATTAAGGATAAATGGGGCCCAACTTTTGATGACTAAAGCTGATCTGGAACCCTCCGTTCCCCGCATCTCGACCGTCCATGCTGTTTTGATGGGAAAGATTCGGATAGGGACGGTCGAAGAAAGGAAGTTTAGTCGATCAGATTCAGAAGATACCATGAGATCGCAATGTGTGCATTTCCAACAGATAGCGGCTACTACTCCGAGAATAATCTTATCCATCTGCAGATATTGGCGTATAAATACAACGCAAGATTTAATGCTGCAGCATCCGAATCAGAAAGGGAGTTCAGAAGACACACTCGTGTGTGGAAGATGACGGAGAATGGAGTTGCAATGGAGCAGCACAAGGCCAAGGAGGGGAAGAACAAGTATGCCTTCGCTTGTTCTTTCATCGCTTCCTTCATCTCCGTCTTGATGGGCTATGGTGAGCTCATCTATCCTTGATCATTCGTGTGAGTCTTCTGTTTCATTGCTTCCTCATTTGGATGCCGATGATGGCAGATACTGGGGTCATGAGCGGCGCCATGATCTTCATCCAAGAGGACCTCAAGGCGACAGACACCCAGATCCAAGTCCTCGCCGGGGTCCTCAACGCCTGCGCCTTGGTTGGGTCCCTGACCGCCGGCCGGATATCCGACTTCATCGGACGGCGCTACACCATCGTCGTCGGCGCCGCCGTCTTCTTCCTGGGGTCGCTCCTCATGGGCTTGGGTCTTAACTTCGCCATGCTGATAGCCGGCAGGTGCATCGCGGGAGTCGGCGTCGGCTACGCCCTCATGATAGCTCCCGTGTACTCTGCCGAGATCTCCACCACGTCCTCCCGCGGCTGCCTCAGCTCCCTGCCGGAGATCTGCATCAGCATCGGCATCCTGTTCGGTTACCTCGCCAACTACCTCTTCCGGAAGCTCCCGCTGATCTACGGCTGGCGCGTCATGCTCGGCGTCGCCATGGTCCCTTCCGTCGCGCTGGCCCTTAGCGTCATCCTGATGCCGGAGTCGCCGAGGTGGCTTGTCATGCAAGGCCGCATCAAGGACGCCAGGGGCGTGCTGCTCCGCGTGTCGAACTCCAAGGAGGAGGCGGAGCGCCGGCTGGGGGATATCAAGGCCGCCGTGGGGATCGACAAGGGCTGCACCGACGACCTGGTCCACGTGACGAGCAAGCACCACGGGGAGGGCGTGTGGAAGGACCTCCTACTGTGCCCGACGCCGCCGGTGAGACGGATCCTGACGGCCACGGTCGGCATCCACATCTTCCAGCACGCCACCGGCATCGAAGCCGTCCTCCTGTACAGCCCCAGGATCTTTAAGAAGGCCGGGCTGATGACCAAGAACCAGCAGTTCCTCGCCACCATCGGCATCGGTGTCTTCAAGACCGTGTTCATCTTGGTGGCCATTCTTCTGGTGGACAAGGCGGGGAGGAGGAAGGTGCTGCTCTCCAGCCTGACCGGGATGATACTGTCTCTCGTAGGGCTGGGCGTCGTCCTCACCGTGGTGGAGCACTCACCTCACAGGCTGATCTGGGCGCAGATTCTGGCCGTGGTGTTCGTGTTGTCCTTCGTGTCCTCCTTCTCCAGTGGTATCGGTCCGGTGACATGGGTTTACTGCTCCGAGATCTTTCCCCTGAGGCTAAGAGCACAAGGTGCCAGCCTGGGGGTGGCCATCAACAGGCTGATGAACTCCGCCATGTCCATGTCCTTCATCTCGCTCTACAAGGCCATCACCATCGGCGGCGCCTTCTTCTTGTTCGCAGGCATTGGGGTCGTAGCATGGGTGTTCTACTTCTGCTGCCTCCCCGAGACGAAAGGGAGGGCGTTGGAGGAGGAGATGGAGGAGGTCTTCACGAAACGAGGTGACAAGAAGCCATCGAAACAGCATGCGGTGGAGATGGAAAAGGTTGAGATATAATTCATTCTTCCTTTTTCTGTGTTTATGGGAGATTGTTTTGCTTATCTATATGTGTTTAATGAAAGATTTGAGTAATCGAATTGAAATTTGAATTGGGAATCGTATCATCTATCAACTCGAGTAATCGAAAAGGTTGATATGGGCCGGAATTCTTCCTCGTGGGCTTCGATTGTTGTCCGACACACACACACGATTGTTGCCGGGCAATTTAGGTTGACCAGTTGAAGCTTTAAAGAAATAGAAAAGACAAGCAATTAAGGACTTTATCCTTTGATTACGAAATAACAAGTCTGAGGTACGTCGCATTCATTTCGCGTGCTTTTAGCGATAAGAGGATGATGTTTTGGGTCCCAAAGAATCTACAAAACGATGCTGTTGATGACTCAGCATGACTTAATATACTTTCACTAAATCATGTATTATAATTCATTAAGTTTATTGAGTATAAACATATTTAATTAATAATAATAATACACATTCATCTTAATGTTACCTTTTTGATGTGTGACTAATCAAAAAATAATACAAAGAGTTGAAGCTATTATTTACTCGAAAAATAATTTTAATTTATATGATAATCAACTAAAACCAAGCGAGGAGAGAGTTTTATTTGTTGTAGTTTATTCTCATGCAACGTAGATGATAGGACCAAAATACATAAACCTTGTATTCACTATTTTGAGTTTATGATTTATTATTTATTATCTATAATGTATATATTGCATAAAGCGGTAACAGAGCAATATTATCATCATATATTTATTGCAAGATAACATAAATACATGTTTTTTGCTCACACTTCTGAAGCACTCGAAATGTTTACACCTCAACTTGAAGTAAATTTATAGTAGCAATATCAAACAAACTGTGCTGCGGTTAAAATTTGACAGTGTAGATTTTCAAGTATAGCAGTTTAGACATAAAAGATCAATGGTTTATATTGAGAATTTTTTAACAAAGCTAAAGGAAAATATGCTATTAGGAAGTATCAAAACTGTCATAAAAATTTCATAGAGATTTGGATAGAAAAAATATAGTAGCAAGATCAAATAACTATGCTATGCGGTTGGAATTTTACGATGCAGATTTTCAAGTATAACAGTTTAGATGTAAAAGATTAATGATTTATATTGAGATTTTTTTGATAAAATCTGTTGCTCGGAAATGTCAAAGTGTCTTACTGGTCTCCAGATGTTTTTGCTATTCTATCTTAATATCTTTAATGAAATCGTTGGTCCAAAGTAAAACTACATAAATTTCAAATCCAAGAAGAATTCCATGATCTCGGAACGGGACACGCGAAGGTTAATCTCAGATCAGGTGCCCTAAGACACAACACGATGGGATCTCTAAATGCCATGTTGCATTTAGAGAGAGATCCTCGTTTCACCAAACTAATCTGATCACCAACCCAATCTACCACCACTAAGTAGCTAATAATAATCACCCTCTCTTCCCATGCAGCAGCAGCAGCAGCAGATGAGAAGGTGGTGGTGAACAAGAAGAAGACTCGAGGTGAGAGAAGTCTCTCAGCAGGGGATTAAGGGTCGTGTATATGACGTGGAAAGGGCAGGAAATAATTGTTCGCGGGCCCATCTTCTTTTGACTCCAATCAACCATCAACCAAAAGTGTTGTGGTGAGTTGATCCCCACGTCCACGCATGCCTTCTTTCCCCGTTGACCGGAGACATATGCAGCCCATGCCTTCGCCATAAAGATTGAATGGGGAGGATAACATTGCAGCACGAGATCAACGCCCCATCCTCCCAAAAAGATGGCTGCTCCACCACGGCTTTGACTCGCTTCTTCACCCACCCAACCAAAAGGTGTGTGTGTGTGTGTATATATATATATATATATATATATATATATATATATATATATATACACACCTTCTGTTGATGATTCGAGTAGGAAGGGGGGTTTGGATTTGGTGATTGATGCCTTAGCTATCCTTCTCTCTTTCCTTTTACTTTTGTTTATTTTTGTTGTAAAGGTCTTAATAGAGTGGATATGGACAGAGCAGTGATAGAGTTGAGAATCTATCACACGGATTAATTACGTGACAATGTTTGATGCATCCACTTTGATGCTCTACATTTGTATTTGATCCATGTGACATATAAATGGCACTTAGATGAACCTAATCAGATTCTAAAAACTATGGTGTCATTATATCCCGACCAACTTATCTATCATATCATCATTAAAATAGGAAACAATACAATGGGTGAATAAACACTTTTGCAAATAATCTCTTCTCTCACTAAGACTCTTCCTCGATCAATTTATATATATTTTTTCTTCCTTGACTCAATATTGATTTAGCTTGAGCATTAAAGAAGTATCCATCGGATTTATTCTCAATAATTTTTCTATTATGCATTAGCTATTCTCATATCAATTATTGTCACTTATGATAGGTCTCCATGATGTTCATTTTTTACAGATATTTATTTCATAAAGAAACGATGACTACACACTGTGATATATCTTCAATCTTTTTTGACATAACATGATTCTTCTTGTAATCGAATCGTAATAGTACCAATTCAACTACCATAATACTAATGATCAAGTATTTTGACAAGCATGAAATTGTTTGTTTGTGATGTATGCATCTACGAACCATCATAATTTAGATGTACACAATGTGTATAGGTCCATCCATAGTAGATACAATAACAATGTTACGAGTGAAAAGTTGGAGGCTGCGTGAGAATGGACTCTTATGTCATGTCATGGTCTCAGAATCTTCGGAAGATATGTAATGTTAGTCGGCAGAACACTTGTTCGACCTTTCATTGTCTGCTTCATAGATAAACATGTCATGCATCCCATAAATGCAAAACTTATTTCCTTATAAATCAAGCATATCTTAAACACTTCATCTGTACGATTGCATGCCCATATTGGTTTGATTTCATTTGTATGGTTTAGTGTGATTGTGGAGGCCATGGTAGGTTTTCTCCCACAAGCTTGAAATCAGGAGACCTCCATTAGCAAGTGGGCGGCCACCACAAGTAGCCATCTAATCTGTGTCTTGCTTAGTGGAGAATCTACTTGGCTTCTTCCTCTCCAACATGACTTGGAAGGCACTCCCAACAAAAGATTAATTAATATCATCTATCAACAAATGATAAACGATAAGGGCGTGATTTGATACTCAGAAGCTTTTCATCAAGTAATTGAAGTCTTACGGATATAATATTTTGTATAACCTTTCGTATGATGTTTTGTTGAGGCTTCCACAAATTTGATGACATGAGTGTACATTAAATTGATGATTAGAAAGCATTGGTTGCTAACCAGTCCAAGAATTCCAAGGACGAGACAGACCACCTAATACTTGTCTTCCCACACACACATCTCATTACAACTCAACAATAAAGTGAAGAGCAGTAATTTCATTAATCCGAAGACGTTTGTGATTCCAAACAATAAGAAGAACTGTTAATATTAATAACATGTCGACGTCTGCGGTCAACTCTCAAAGTCTTGCCACAGTAAGGACGAGATAAGAAGACAAAAGGAGTCCGCAGTGTTCATACACGCAATCCGAGCCCATTCGGAAAGGAGAAGATTTGCTGTTCATTGGAGATGGCCATGTGATGAGATCCCGTGCCTATTTAATCCCTTCCCGGCGCTCTCCTCTCCACTGCCCACAGCCACTGCTTAGGCCTCTCTGTGAGCTCCCATTCGTCCACGACTCCATACCTTCGGGTAAAGAGGTAAGATAGAGAGAGAGAAAGAAGCCGACATGGCTGCCGAAGTCCCTGACCACTCCCACCGCGGAATGGTGGCCGCACCGGCGAAGCGCAAGAGCAAGAGGTTCGCCTTCGCGTGCGCCATGCTCGCCTCCATGACGTCCATTCTCTTGGGATATGGTAATCAGGATCCTACTCACCCCTGCTTTGTTTCTTACTAAGCCTTATAAATTCGATAAGCACATCTAATCCCTCGAGTAGGGAATTGAAGTCTCACAAGAACGATAAGACCTTTGACTCACTAATAGTGGGCATTGATAAGCATATTTAGTCTCATCTCGATTGAGACTTAGAGATCTTATAAATCTCACAGTCACCTTCGACCTTATAGACACAACGAGTAAAGTAATCAAAGTCTTCTTATAAGTCCCATCATCGTCTATTTCGTATCGACGATGATAAATAATGAATTATTAATATCAAAAATCATAATATCGTAACATATGATGAATTATTAATATCAAAAATAAATTAAGACTAAGATTGATTTATAAGGATACAATACTATGCTATTGTTAATTTTAAGCTATTTTGACCATCTGAAGAGCTGATGATGATGATGATGATGTGGTGTTTTGTTTCTTGTATCCAAAGATATTGGAGTGATGAGTGGAGCGGCAATCTTTATAAAGGATGACCTCAAGATCAGTGACACGCAGGTGGAAATCCTCCTGGGGATCCTCAACCTTTACTCCCTCGTAGGCTCCTACGCCGCCGGTTTCACCTCCGACTGGATCGGCCGACGCTACACCATCGTCTTTGCCGCCGGCATCTTCTTCGTGGGTGCCCTTCTCATGGGCTTCGCGGTTAACTATGCCTTCCTCATGTTCGGACGCTTCGTCGCCGGCATCGGCGTCGGCTACGCCCTCATGATCGCCCCCGTGTACACCGCCGAGGTCGCCCCGGCCTCCTCCCGTGGCTTCCTCACCTCCTTCCCTGAGGTATTCATCAACTCCGGCATCCTTCTTGGCTACGTCTCCAACTACGGATTCGCCCGCCTTCGCGAGTCCCTCGGCTGGCGTCTCATGCTCGGCGTCGGCGCCATCCCGTCCGTGTTCCTCGCCCTCGGCGTCCTCGCAATGCCGGAGTCCCCGAGGTGGCTCGTCATGCAGGGCCGCCTCGGCGACGCCAGGCGGGTCCTCGACATGACCTCTGACACCCCGGAGGAGGCGCAGCTCCGCCTGGATGACATCAAGGCCGCCGCCGGCATCCCCGAGGGTTGCAACGACGACGTCGTGCCCGCGCCCAAGAAGAACCAGGGGGGGAGAGTGTGGAGGGAGCTGCTGCTCAGGCCGACGCCGGCGGTCCGGCGGGTGCTGCTCACCGCCGTCGGGATCCACTTCTTCCAGCAGGCCTCCGGCATCGACTCGGTGGTGCTCTACAGCCCCCGGGTGTTCCAGAAGGCCGGCATCCACGACAAGAACAAGCTGCTCGGCACCACGGTGGCGGTCGGCGTCACCAAGACTCTCTTCATCCTCGTGGCGACCTTCTTGCTGGACCGCATCGGGCGGCGGCCGCTGCTGCTTAGCAGCACCGGGGGGATGATCCTGTCACTGGCCGGGCTCGGCCTCGGGCTCACGCTCATCGACCACCACCCGGACGGGCAGCTCCGGTGGGCGGTCGGGCTGTGCATCGCGTCGATTCTGGGCTACGTCGCCTTCTTCTCGATCGGCCTGGGCCCGATCACCTGGGTCTACAGCTCGGAGATCCTTCCCCTGAGGCTACGGGCGCAGGGGGCGAGCATCGCGGTGGCCGTCAACCGGGTGACCAGCGGCGTGATCACCATGACCTTCATATCCCTCTACAAGGCCATCACCATCGGCGGCAGTTTCTTCCTCTACGGCGGGATCGCGGCGTTGGCGTGGGTGTTCTTCTTCGCGTGCTTGCCGGAGACGAGGGGGCGGACGCTCGAGGACATGGAGGACTTGTTTGGAACGAGGAATGACACGAAGGAAACGACGAACGGGGTGGAGATGGCGAACGCAAGTCAAGGCAACGAGAAAATATAATCAATGAAGGGGGTTTTCTGCCAAGAAAATTGAAGTTTTAAGTACCAAAAAGCAATATATGGAATGTTGTGAGCTAAGATGAGAAATTTTCATTTGAAGTGGAAGAATTGGAGGGAGTCTGTCAACCAAAGACTTCTGGGTTTGACGATGACAACATCGCTGGGCAAGTGTTCGAAAGTCAACGAAGTGGGTATGCAATCTAAGATGAGTTTTGACTTGCGAGTCCAAAATAATGGACCAAGACAAAGAAGGATACATCTAATCATGGATCACAAGATACGAAAACAAAAGAAACAGTGGTCACCAATGAATGGAGCAAACAAAGGAAAGATTGGTGAAACAAAGTTCATCGATGAAGGGCAACCCAATCTTTATTTTGGCATCAAACATTTGAAGACATCTCATGGACCCATTACCAAATTTCCTGCAGTCGTGTAATACAAATTAGATGAAGGATCTATGGGAGTTGCCTTAAATGTAAATCCCTCACCCTCAACTTCTCCAGACTCATAAATTCTGGTGGTGTGCGAACTTCCATTGAGGGAAGACAATGAGGTCGTTTGGATCACCAGCTTGCCACAATCCATGGATTGTGGTTGATAGTGCTGTAACTGTTCGATTTCTAAAGGCTGCTGCTGCTCATTTGAGATGTTACTTTGGCAGGGGATGATGCCAACACCAAGATCAAGGCTGACTGTGTCACTCTCCTCTATTTGTGTGAATGGGTGGGGAAAGGTTCTGGTGCTGGTGCCGCAATTCCTCATCATACCACCGAGAGCTGCTGTACTGTGGCTACTCAGAGAACTTTCACCAGTTGTGATCATTTCATGGCTAATTGTTTTTGCAGCAGGGACATCATGATTGTGCTTTCCTTCATAGGTCGTGATCACTGCCTTTGGATCATGTGATGCCCTCTCAACATGCTTCCTAACAGGGCAACCAGAATTTGTGCACTTGTAGTAACTCCTGCAAGTCAATCAGGAAGAGTTAAAGATGTGTTTTTTCCCCTAAGTATCTCTTTTTGATAGACCAAGACATACTATACTGCATCGGTCCAATGATTTTGGTAAGGGTATCAATACTAGTATCTATAGCCTTGATCACAACCATGGTATCCTAAGCATGTCTCAATAAAGTAAAATAGCAAAATTTAGGTCTATCTGTTAAAGAGGAATTATTGTTTCGTAAAACTTTTACACCAAAACTATCAAAATCTCAGTTTTCATGTGCAATCATCAGGGACTAGATAAAAAGGACATCAGAAGAAGATTGAACAAAAGTATTAAAGAAAAAGAAAACAAGAAACTTAGCACATACCAATGTAGCACAACCATAATACCACAGAGTTTTCCAGTCAGAAGACTGTTAAATTCTAGAAACTTTACCTGTTGTCAAATGGTGACTATCCCTGGAAACAAATATAATAATTTCTAAAAAGTGCAAGTCATAGCCATCTCCAAAGTTTCCTCCTGAACATGCACCATACTTTTAACTATTTGCTAAAAGGTCAGAAACTATTAACTTTTTCCCATAAGGTCACAAGCAACATAGAACAAGTGTAGGCAAGACAAGAAGCAATCATCAGTCAATACGAAACATAATTTAACCATAGAAGATGAAAATTACCTTGGGTTAGGATTTCCTTTAACCACTTTCTGCCCATATTTTCGCCAACGATACCCATCATCCAAGATATCAACTTCACTCACAGTTTGCACTACAACACGTGGCTCGCGGTTCATTTTGCCAATTGAAGCAGATTCAATGTTAGCATTTTCCATCTTCCTGCTTAGAGATATTGCAAAAATCAAGCAGTTAGATCATGTGATTGTCTTTTACATGTGAACCTTGGACTTTAACAATAAGAGAGACAACCTGCGCTTTGACTCCGGATCACCATCTCCAACAACCTCATTGCAGTTATTGGATTGCCCACCACCAATTTCAACATCATTTTCACTGACCAAGGCAGGAGACAACTCAGTCGTACCATTAGGATCAACCTGATGAGTAATGTGGAATGGCACATTTGCTGATTTATCTGGAAATTCATGCTCCAGGATGAGAGAAGAGTAAGTGAAAAATTGATGAAAAGGATACAGTATCTGCTCATGAAAATCCCCTACCTTCAGCACCCATCAAAGAAGAAAATTCGGCAGGTTTTTCCTCTTCTTGGCTGGAGAGAACTGCCCCAATTGCTGAGCGACGATTAGGCTGGGGCTTAGGGTGATCATGCCGACCTTTATAGATGATTTCAGTGATCTGTCCATCTTGAGAACGTTCTATTTGCTTCTTCATTTGGCAATGAGGATGTGTGCATTTGTAGTAGCTCCGAGGATATTCACTACCTTTGACATGCTTCTGCCCATATTTTCTCCAGTTATAACCATCTTCTGCAGATCTTTCAAGTATACTTGACGGAGTAGGTTCGCTGGGATCTGACTGTAACATCTGCGTACTTTGCTCTAAACTTTTTGCCTGTTGTAACTCACCAGAACCTGCTTCAGATGGCAGGCTAGCCGTCAAATTGGACATTTCAGTAACCGAATTTGGAGCTGAAGCCAACAGAGTTGGTTCATTTTTGGAGGTACCTCTGCACTGACCTTGAGATTGACTTGGAATCTGCATAGAAGGCATGTTCTCTTCTTGGATCAAGCCTACAGATCCCTACAACAAAGAACATGGTATATAACGAGCATTACAACAAGTGGTTATTTGCATTGAAAATAGCATATCCTTTTGATGAAAGAAAAGTAGAATGCAACTCCAAAATGTCAAAAAACATTGGTCTATGACATATTAGGATGCAGTAAAATTAGGCAGCAGAAATTAGTCAGTTGCATCAATTATGTGTACAACTGCAGCATACATGCAGCAAAACTGTGAGCTCTTACAACTGAGCATAGCTGCAGAGGTCCACCACTAATTCTCAAGTGCCCCTGTCGTTGTTAATATATTCACAAAAAAGCTTAACAGTTGACTTGAATAGCAAGGAGAAGCATTCTGAGCATCTGATTCACTTTGTCGCTGTCATGCTTTTTTTTCACATCATATTGGAAAATCTACAATCCATTCCAAGTTGTAACATTAAATTTCAGAATCAAATAGTAAACTGTAATTATCAAGGCCATCAAACTATTTGGAAAAGAATTTGAAAACTTGAGCAAGTGTGAATATTGGCATCTAGAGACTTTAAAGCAAAAGAAAAGAGAAATATGGACCAGAATCCTCTAATAGATCAAAAACCAACCAGATTATCCAAGGTACTTGGGCAAAGCCATGTGATTTACTTGGAAAAAAATAAAAATATTAAACTAGAACAATCATTATGAAATATCCTCTCATGAATCTACTCTTTGCATAATTGAAGTACCCAACTCCCATATTATATTCATTTATTATACAGATTCTCAGACTGGTTATCAGTATATGTCTAATAGAATGTTTGTTGAGGATTTAATTTTTAACCTAATAATAAATGGATTGGCCATGTCTAGTGTATTACCAAACTAAATCGACATAGTTGTGTTATACGGTGATGCACATAACTAATTGGGCTAGTCAATGAAAGACTTAGAAAGGTGTAATTATCTTTCTCATTGAAACTTCAGCAGTCCTATTTTCTAGTAGTGAGTTACTTGAAGAAACGTGCTTAGTTGGTGCGATAGAGGATGCATATCAGTGTTTTGTGGTAAAATAAAAGCATTTTTCTAGTTGCTATGCTATGTGGCTCTTATTCTCTTCTATCTTATTCTTCTAATTTGCATACTCTTAAGAGTTCCTGAACTACTGTTTATTCTCACTGTATTTCTGTATAATTAAGCTGAACAGATCAGACCATCTGTTGTCTGTCATTTTATTACCAACAGATCAGCTGAAATTTGGTTGTCATTCAATGCCTTTTCATTTTCTTCACAGATCTGTTGTCATTCAACAGATCACACTTCACAGAAAGTTATTAGCACAAGGCAAAAAGAGGGGATTTTTTTCTCAAGAAAAATGCACACTAATGCTTTATCTAAGTTACCGAAAAAAAGAATGGAAATTACCGAAGGTTTTAATGAGGATAAGTCAGGATTATAAGATGCTCTGCCATGGGGTTTGAACTCAAAATCTCCAGAATTCCCTCCATCATATGCATTGACATCTGAAGTATCCCTTGTAGAAGATAATACCTCAATACAAACAGTTTTATCCATGATAGAGCACATATTGAAGGTTCCGGTAGTTGGAGAAGGCTCAGCCTGCAAAAAAAGAATATCAGAATATAAATAACAATTTCGACTTCCTAGTTCTGCGGTTGAGATTTAAGTATATTAATCTATTACAAGAAACGTAAAAGATACAAGCTTCTCGAACAGCATAGATGACCGTCCCAGCAACCCAAGTTATCGAGGGATGAATGATCAGGATGACTGTCACAACTTGTCTTTGATTTGATATAACATGGACTTTTATTCCAAAACTACTATAAAACAAAGTAAAATTATTCACCAAAGAAACACGATTGAGATGCTAGGAACCAAATGTTTTTACTTCTCTAGGGTTTTAAGAATTTGAAGCAAACAAAGACAGACAGGCCTTTGGAAGATATATAGGAATGGAAGTGACAGTAATACCATAGTGCCGGTCATGGACACTCGGATTGAAACTCAGCCTAGAGCTTTTTCTCATATATAAGGCAGTCAACACAGCATTTAAGATGGATAAAGAATTGCATACAGATTAAAGCCAGCTGAAGGAAGCTCTGAGAATTACAAATGTAATAGTTACGAATACCTCCGTTTTTATGTAATTTTAGACATATACTTTCTTTTGCTCATAAAAAAAAAAACTAAATCTACATCAATAAATCACCATGAAGTAGACAATACCATTATTTGACACTGAAGCAAGACAATTGCTACTCAACAGAGTGCGCATAAGAGGAACGGACATTTTACTGGCTTCCTTAACCAAATTTCTAATATATATGCTCTTAAATGCCATCGGCCTTTTGAATCCGCCCTCACATCACAGCGTAAAGACCTCATGAAACTAAAAATCAATTTGTAACAGATTCTACCCACTAAAACCCCATGAGAATAAGTACATGAATTACCTCTATCCAACCAATTTTTTTAACTAGAGTTCTCTCGAGGGTTGCACATATATTTTGATGTTTCAAAGATGAACAAGAATG